AATTTTTAAGAAATCTGAAAGTCGAATCAGTCTAAAAAGATATAGCAACTCGAGTCAGAACAGTCTGAAGGTCTGACCCGAGTTTGGAGTTTGTAGAGTTAAAGCTCTAGGAGGAGTAGCAGTCAGAAAATTTTGAGTAAGAAGAATAATAATAATAATAATAATAATAAGTTTAAATAGGATTTCAGTAAGTTGGCTTTCTCAAGCCAACTTAATAATCAATACTCATCAAGGCATGGTGACAGACAGTTGTGCGAGCTGACAAACAATTAAAATAAAAAATACACACTTAGTCATTGTGCTTTGGAGTTTATTCAAAATTATAAATGAATGTGCTGCTTGAATACATTAACTGGCACATTTGGTATTCTGTCAACACAGGCTTTGATCCTGAGTTTAGGTGCAACATCAGTAACTTAGAGAACAGCCAAACACATGCTGATAAAAGTTTATAGAATATTAAGAATTTAAACAAATGTACACAGGAAGATTCGTCGTCTTTTGGGAGGTGATGGAAACTACAGTCGTTGGCAGGAACACTCTGATTTCGTTTTCAGCTTATGTTCAAAACAATCCCGTTTAAGCCACTGAACTAGTTTAGTCCGGTTATACATACAACCGCGAACAGCACATGTTGTCCATGAGCTCCGTAACGACATCTCTCATAAAGATTTGCGTCTTTAAATAGTAAAATAATTCTCCGAAAAACAGCTAGCCTCTTCGCTAACTAACATACAAAATACCATTGGAATGCTACTTCCGCCGCCTCACCGGAAGTTTCACCCACTTTATTTTTTACAGGAGCGCCCCTCGGAAACTTGTGGATAGCTTCGGATATTTCAACAGAAATCATGTATTTTCTAAATTTTGCTTTGTTATTTCACTGACTCGGACCTAGTGAATGTGGATAGCACCGATCTAATATTGAGAGAACACACGAGCAGATTACCAGGTCGTCAGCTCCCGCGAACAATTTAGCAGTGAAGAGGACAACGCAGAGCTGCGCCGTCACGACATGGACAGAGCAAGATACTGCCAGAAAAGATCTTACTTCTTGGTGGTAAGTTTATTAGTTTAAGTGATTAGTATAATTGGCTTTATTCTCACTTTGGGTTTAGTTTAAAATATTTTCAGAAGTTGTGGATTACTGGCGTTTCTGTTGATTTGACACTAAAGCGAGTTAACGTTTATCCATTGACGTCTATCAACTTAATGTTTTAGATCTAGACAGTGAAAACAACTATAAAAACATTGCACACTGTGTTTGCAGAAAAAAAGGTTATTAATGGTGATTACACAACAGGCTTGATTGTCCCTAAGTAACTTCTTGTGTTTTAAATATTATAATATATTTTAAGCTCTAATACACATTTGTGATATTTAATTCATAGTAAAATCTAATTAATTATTAGTAGGCTGTCAGTTTTCATGTCAATTCGATAAATAAATTAAGTTGTAATCACCAACTATAAGCTTTCACAAAACCAATTATTAAATATCTTGCACTGAGAAATTAAAATGATGTTAAATAATGAAATGAGAGATTTTATATTTAATATTTAGCCAAGGAATTTGCACATTGCAAAGACATTTTTTTATATTAAACCTAACCGTGAGTAGATGAGGTCAAGTCGAGTAAGTAGTAGTTGATCCTCTTGGTTTGTAACTTTTTGTTGGTGAAAAACAACAAAAAAGGCAATAGTGTGTCATGTAGCAGCTAAGTAGCTAAGTGACCTATTATATATTAACACGTATTTGAAAAATGAATATGTATTTTGCCTGATTATGCATTGAATTATGCAATCACATAATCGTGTTTTTCTCGAGGGACTGATTTATATGATTTTGAGTGGTATTCAGCTTTTTTACATTTAATCAAGTCGTTATCAGCTGTCACCAACTTGTAACTTTCAATAGAATGTTCTGTCTTTATTAATAATGAATAATTACTTTAATAATAGGGTGGAAGTTACAGTAATGGTTCATTAAATATGGTTCATCACCATTTAAACAAAATACAAATTATATATGAAGAACACAAACTAGTGTTTGTTCTGCCCTAACTTTGTATAACATGCAACTTGATTTTTTCTTGTAGAGCTTCCAGGGATATTAGCATCTCTCAAAGAGGCCCTGGAGTCCATGAAACGAGGTTCATTCAGCTCAAGCCCAAGATCATCTGAGCTGTGTCTTCCTGAAACCTCAGAAATGGTTAGAAAATTCTTTATGATAAAGAAAAATCCTATTTGTTATAATAATTATATCTGACTTTTTGTGCATTAAGTGTTCTGAATTAAGTAACAAAGTGACAGCTTTTTATTAGAATTATAAATGAACAAGTTTATACTAATGCTTGTTTTTTTGATTCTTGCCAGATTTCCCTCTGTGTTTCTGATGTCCCCAAAAGAGTCTATGACAGACTGAAAAAGTCACGAACTTCTCTTTTTACTCAAGATTTGGCCACTTTACTTTTTGCTATTGTATTTCACTTTGTTTGACTTAAAGGATTAGTTCACTTTAAAAAAAAAACTTTTGCTGATAACTTACCCACCCCCATGCCAAGATATCCATGTCATTCTTTCTTCAGTTGAAAAGAAATTAAGGTTTTTGATGAAAACATTCCAGGATTTTCTCCATATAATGGACTTCATTGGGGACCAAACGGTTCAAGGTCCAAAAGACAGTTTCTGTGCAAACTGTTCAAAGGGCTTTAAACGATTCCAGACGATGAATAAGGGTCTTATCAAGCGAAACGATCGCTCATTTAAAAAAAAAAAAAACAAGTTTAAGTTTTATAAGCTCAAATGGTCGCCTTGCTCTGTTCTGTTATGCATGTTCATGATTTTCCTATTTGAACTCGTTCATCAAAATTAACAAATCTTTTTCCGAGTCATTAGGTTCATTCAATGAACGAAATGAATGAATTGACTCGAAAAAAGATTTGTCAGGGCTGCCAACTCTCAAGCATTCAGCACGAGACTTTCGCAATTGAGCCAATTCTCATGCTTTCACGACAAATTGACTGTTGGACCTTGAACCGTTTGGTTCCCAGTGAAGTCCATTATATGGAGAAAATCCTGGAATGTTTTCATCAAAAACCTTAATTTCTTTTCGACTGAAGAAAGAAAGACATGGACATCTTGGAAGACATGGGGGTGAGTAAATTATCAGCAAAAGTTTTTTCAAAAGTGAACTACTCCTTTCAGTTAGTTTATTCATTTATTTATTTTTTGTTCTGTTTAATACCTCTGCAAATCAATGCATTTTATGTTAATGTATTTTGTTTAGTTTTCATAATGCTTTACTGATGTAGTGCATTAAAGTTTATCTTTCAAAGAGTGTTTGTGTGTTTTGTAGAAATATTTTTTTTACTGGGTTTTGTTGAATTCAAATGTTTAAATGTATTTTTAAAACATTAAAATATATTATTTTTTTATATTAAATGGTTTTTGGAAAAATATATTTTTAATATGTTAATAGTGGGTCCTATAGTGTTCTACTAATACATTATTAATAAGCTGAAAATATATTTAAAATATACTCAGAACGCATTAATGTGAAGCTAAAAATATACTAATGCTGTATTTCTAAAGTCTATTTAAAGTGTATTAAAATACACTTTAAATAAGTGCTATTATATTACATTAAATGTACTTAAAATGGTTCCATTTTAGCACAATTTAGTATAATAAAATATATTACTATTACCTTAAAATTGAACTTAAATACATATTAAAGTACACTTAATATACTTGAAGTTGTTTCAATTTAGCACATTTAATACATATTTAATACGGTACACTTAAAATACATTAAGTATATCAAAATAAGTACAATTTAAATATATTTCCTTTTCACCTGGGTATGCAGAAATGAGCTGTTCACATCATTATGGTTTTCCTCTAGAGGATCGGGACACCCTACGGTCTTGCACGCCTTAAGCGAGAACGCGCATCGAGGGGCACAAGGGCGCGATTGCGGATATTGGGGGACATTCTCACACGCTTAACGTTAAAAACACTTAATGTACTGAGACGGTGATATTAAAAGACCAAACTCCGAGTCAGTACACATCATATTAATAAACCATACTATGTATAAAAAAATAAGATGAGTCCAGAATATCAACGCAACGCGATTAATAACACGTTAAGCATTTTCTTCCCATAGAAAACCGTCATAAACGAAAACGCTTAACGTGGCTCACTGTACTTGTGGCATGCATGACACATTTACACTTTTGCTTTACTGTTTGTATCAGTTAAATGTATTGCTTGGTTTCTATTGCTTTTTAGTACGGTGGCTGAGAGGGCTCAACACGCTGCAACAGAAGACAACGGATGCAAACAGAAAAAACCCTGTAAAATAAGACCATCTTTATCACATGTGCTAAAACACAACCAAATACAGAAACACACTCCAAATGTCCGACCAACAACGCAAATATCTACTGGACAGTGGTGTTTATTATTATTATTATTATTTATTGTTTGCGTTGTATTTGCAGCAGTGTGTTGTGAAACTGGTGTCTTGACTTGCTGCTGTTTTTCTTGTTTGCATGTTTTCTTCTGTTGCAGGACTTTGAGGTCTCTTGCCGTTTGCAGTGTGTTTTTGTATTTGGTTGCATGTGTGTTGTCAAACTGATGAAGATGTTCTCTTAATTTGCTGCTGTTTTTTACTGTTTGCATGTTTTCTTCTGTTTCAGTGCGTTGAGATCTCTCGTATTTTCGTTCATTTTTTTAAATGCATGAAACATTTTATGCAACTTTTAATAAATGGGTTGTAGGCTACAGAAGTTTAACATTGCTAGAAATTCAAAATATATTCAAACCAAGTTGTCCCAAATTTGAGGTTATCACAATTAAATTGAGGTTTCTTTATTTTCCTTACTTTGTCTGGTTTATAATTTTTTGGTTCATTTCAAATTTAAATATGAGTAAATAAACTTTAGTTGATTACTACGACAATATGTGCAGTTTCGGAAAAGGAGTGTTTCCATTGGCTACGTAATTTATGATAGCCAATGAGCATAGAGAAGGGAGTAATGCGTCATCAGATATTTAAATGAGCAGTGAACGACCTGCTGCTTCCTTATTAGTTTTGTTAAGTAGTGGTCGAGTGTTTCGGTGTAACAAATGCGGTAAAACATCTCTCATTGATTGATTGATTAAAAAATTTTGCCCACCTGTACACTACTGATTATTTAAAAATTATTTTTTTCTGGCATTCTATAAACATCAGGGACACACCAACCTGTATCTGATCTGTCTGCGCGTGTCTGAAGTTCGCTTCACATTTAAGGAGGTAAAATGTTTTATAATACCCAACATATTTAACATTTGGAGTTTCATCTTTAATGTTACAAGTGCTGTTTTCAAGTGTGTGTGCCTAAACTAGTTTTGTATCAAAAGAGATCGAGTTTAATTTATCCAGTGTAGGCCTATCTGTTAGGGATGTAACATTTTTGTATGAAGTATATACATGCAAATATTTCTTAAATCTATACATGCACGTGTGTATTTATATATACAAAATAATTATACACATATATTATGTGAACACAAACTTTTATTTTGGATGCGATTAATCGTTTCACAGCCCTAATATTATCTCATGCAATTTACATGTTTACACGCCATGACAAACAGAGGCGAACCAAACTTTCACTGCTCAGGTGAGACGCTTTTATTCCCCCCCCCCCCTTCCTTTCTGTCTCGTAAACCTGTTTAAAATGAATTTCTTTCTCACACTGGACTCATCAGGTGCTCAACGCCTTCGCTCAGCTGGCGAGAGCCGAGGAGGACGTTACTAAAACTCACGTTGGCTCATGAGTCGTCACTGGCTGAGTTGAACGAGGCCGTCACACACAGGGTACAGCATGAATCATGTTGTGTTTCTTTTCTCTGTACTCAACCTGACTGGTGTGTATTAATCTGTATTGTTTTCTTTCTCCTGTTCTCCTCGTTCAGGAGTGTCTGAGTGAGCAAGAGCAGATCCTTCAGGGAAAGATCTCCGTTCTGGAGGATGAACTCCTGAAAGCTCAGTCTCCGGACAGAGGAGAGGTTTTGGGACCCATCATGGAGGTGAGTATGGAGCACTAGGAGTGACGCTTAAAAATAAAAGGAGTCGTTTATCAAATTAATAGTCCAGACATAAAAATGGAAATAAATCCGTTCATAAATGGACAAATCGAAAACATTTAGTTAAACTGTTTAATTAATGCTTTAAACTGTTAAACAATTGTTTTCTGTTATTTAACAACTACATTTTAAAACATGAATCAAATAAGCCGTTTTAAATGTCTATTTATTCTATTTTTTTTTATTAAATTGGATACTTTTAAACTTTAATTCATGTTTTAAAATTTTCTTGATTATATAATTTTTTTTAAAACCCATTAAATAAAGTTAAGTATCAATTTAATAAAACAGTTAATTAGTATTAAATGTACCTTTCACACTGTTTAACTCGTTTTAAAATCTAGTTAAATACTACGGTGATGCATTGCTGCCACATACATATTATTATTTCCCCTCAATTATGTCAATAACGAGATATTTATGTAATTAAAACGAGATATTTATGTGGTTAAAATGAGATTATGTCGTTAAAACGAGATATGTCAATAAAACGAGAAAATATGTCGTTTTAACGGCATAAGATCTCGTTATGACGACATAATTGAGGGGAAAAATATGCCTGTGGCAGCAATGCGTCATCGTAAAATATAATGGTTTTATTGATTTTGTTTTGTTTATTTAATTTACATTTTAAAACAAAGTTTTAATCTGTTTTATTTGATGAAACAAAATTAACTGTAAATTTAAGTGACATTCATTTGTTTTATTACATTTAAAATGAATGAACATTTAAAACCTTTAACTCACAATTTTTTAAATCTAGTTCTATAAACCATTAAATAATAATTGATGTACATTTTTTTTAAAGTCCATTTGTGAGATGGATTGCTCTTCAATTTAAATTTTACTTTTTAATCTTAATTTTTGCTCTTTACTAGTCTGAGTAAATCTCACTTCATTGCGTTTATTGTATAAAATGCTATGACTTAAAAAAATGAATGTCTTGTCTCTTGTCAGGTTTTGACTAAAATCGAAAGCCTCCAAACTCGCATTCTGGAACGGTCCGAGCAGATTTCCCTAAAAGATGAAGAAATCAGAAATCTGAGGAACGAGCCCGACTCTGTTGAGCGCGAGCTGAAGCTTGTGAAGGAACAAAATATTAAAAACAATTGACAGGTGGTCTATTTCCTCATTCACCATCTCCCATTTCTGCTGGTTCTCCTCCAGTTGTTGTTCATCAACAAGCCTCTTCTCCAGATCCTCCTTTGCCTGATGCAGATCAAGGATATCTTTCTCCTTTCGAAGGAAAAGCCCTTCCATCTCCTTCAGCTTTTGATCTAAAGAGCCCAGCTGATCGTCCTTGTTTCTCCTTGTAGGTTGCGCACCGTCTCCTCTAGCTCTCTGCGGAGATCATCTTCAGACTGTTTGGCCCTCAACTCTTGATCTTTCATCTCCTCTTGAAGAGAAATTACTTGAGCATCTCTCTCAGAGGCAAGAGTGGAGACCTGTTGGATTTTAGCTTGAAGTTCACTCACTGTTCTCTCAAGTTCCTCACGCTTGGCAGTCTCAAGCTCCTGAGCCTTTTTCTCTAAGGCTTTCTTGTTGTTGAAGCTCATTTTGAAGCAAGAGAAGCTCAGCATCTTTCTGTGAAGCTGTAGTTGTCACGCCAGCCAGCTGGTTCAGAACAGAGGTCAGGATTTCCAGCGCCCGTTGTGTTTGGTCTCTAGGACAGACATCTCCTGTCGTTTCAGTACTTCATCTTCACTGTACA